CCATCTCATTTGGTAGGAAGAATGACAACAAAAGCAGGATTTTAAATTAATTGCTTTTCAGAAAATCCATACAAACATGTTAGACAAAGTAAAAACAACATAAGCAGATAAGCTTTTAAATAAAAAATAGTAACTTTCTGTATCTAAACTACCAAGCAGTTGCAAAAAAAAAAAAAACAAAAAACTACCAAGCAGGCATAAAACCCCATTTGAAGCCTCTCAGTCATTGCTACGGTAATAACAACCACAGTCATCTTTGTTTGATGAGATGCACTCAATCTGGAAAAGGTCAAGGGATCCATGATCTTTTAAGGTTGATCACATGACTACAGCAATCTAGAAACAGTATTTGGAAAAACTAAATACTAGATTATTCGCCTTGGCAATGATTAGCCAAAATAGTACTTGCTTCACCGAAACTTACCTTTGACCAGGACAGAACTCTAGTGATGCAATGGATGTACCCAGGTGTGGCCTCTTGCTCCAATGGCTGATCTCCATTTTCTTTACTTCAACCACACATTTGCTTCCCGTAAAATGAAAACAATCGAACACATTTATCGAATGAACATATACATTGAAAAGTATTATAAATGTAGTTAATTCTACAAAATTTTCCCAAGCATCATAAACCAGTGCTTGGCATGTATAAATCCTGAATACTCCATCCTTCGCTCTTTGTCTCTAACTCTTCATCTGTTACTATCCATTCTCTTAGTGAGAATGCAGACAAGTTAAACAAATACACAGATGATGTATATTGAGTGTTGACACACATTTGCACATGCACACCCCTGCACACACACACGATTCACACTTTCTGCTACGATAAACCATGGAAATAGAGCTCTTAAATATATATATATATATATATATATATATATATATATATATAAAGCTGTTCCCAAGGAAGCACGAAATTCTACGGTGAAAAAAATTACTTGGGAATAGATTTGAAAATTAATACTATAGGAATTTGACATTTGCAACTATAGGAATTTGACATTTGCAAACAGGCAAACCAAATTATACCAAACCAAACCAAAAGCAACGATTCTGCATTTTGCTAATTTCCAATATGAACCAGAATACTAGAAAGCAGAAATCCAAAAGGCAATGCTGAATGCTTACAAAGCAAGATATTTGCCATCCAGGCTGACGGACATAATGGAAACAGGATTTCTGAGTAACATCTTATGCCCAATTTTATTCCACGTGCTTATGTCATAAACAGCAGTAACTGCTTTATCACCTGTCACATTAAAGCATTACAGTTTCATAAAAGTAAATTAATAACAGAAGGTAAATTTTTTAATTCAAACAAAAGCATGCATAGCCTTTTGAACAGTACAAAACAAAAATGGTTTTGTCCCATCCTTGGAGAACCGACATAATTCCTTCTTTTCATTCTACAGAACTGGTATACCAAAAATTTGTCAGAAAGACTAAATTTTGCAGCATTCAACGAAAAACTTTGGTTAAAGAAATGGTTAAGATTCTGGGTTTCCCTTTACTACTAAACCAAAGTTCATTAGCATAATAAAAAAATTATTAATAATGTTAAAATAGGTACTTTCTGAATTAATATTTGATGTAGTAATAGTATATAAATGTTAAATATATATTATTAATCAATTCTAAGATGACATAATAACATTAATGAATAAAACAAAAGTAATCAAATCCTTTAAAAAGTATTAATCATTTGCATGATAACCTCACTCATTATTATTTTAAAGGACCTAATTATTTTTTGTTTTACTCATTTACTAGGTATTATGATTAATTGACAATATATAATAGAGTATCCAATACTAACCCTTATCTTATTATTTCTAAAAAAAATTATTTTATTACTTCAAATAATAAAATAACTCAATTGAATTTTATTTTTTACTATGAAATTATAGCAAGCACTACTATAAAAACTCTTCCTTTTTCAATTTCCTACCCTAAAAATTAAAATGAAAATAAAAAAGCTAATATATATATATAAGCCAACAGTCGAAGTTAGATTTAGGTGAAAATTATTTGAATAAATATTAAACATAAATTTAGGTGAAGGTGCATATTCACCATTAGATAAAGTAATGTAAACTTTCACTATTTTTTAAATAATGGAGAGAATTATTTCTCTTTTATATGATATATCGAAAAGTTTAAAAAATTAAATTTTGTGTATTTGTTTTAAAAATTTATAAAAATTTATGTTTATTCATTAATGATGTTATATAATATGATTTATGATGATATATAAAATTTGTGCACTTACAGTATATAAAATATAAATTTTATTTAAAAATTAAAAAGAAAAAATCCTATTAAACGACATAATTAAATATTTTTCAAATTAAAAAAAAAAACTTAGATGAAATTTATGATGTTTTTTATTAAAAATTATTAAATTAAAATTAAAATAAAAAATTAAAATTGATAAATTATAAGATTTTATCACATAAATTAAATGTATAAATTTTGAAAAAAATTAATAAATTTGATAGATATTTTTAATAAAAATTTTGATAGAATTTTTATAATTAAATAAGTACTTATCAAATTTAAATAATAAATAATATTTTTAATAATTTTTTATATAATTCTTGATTTTCATATTATATCTATCAATCTATCAATTTAAATTTTTTATTAAATTATTTTTTAAAAAAAATTCAAAAGCTTCACCTAAAAATACTTCATTGAAGTTTTTTCCCTCCAGACAACGGTTTCCTACTCTAAACAAGGATTGGACGATTTCCAATAACTCTTTCCCTAGTCTAACTAGGTTTGGGAAATTTCCAAGTAACTCTTTCCTTGCTCCTACTTCGAAAAGGAAGAAACTCGGCGTTTGCTTCATTTATTATTTAAGGCATCAGTTCAAAGCAACAAAAAATCAGCCACTTTTTTTCCAAAAGAAAAAGAAAGAAAAACGCCAGTAGCTATATGGTTTCGTAAAAGATGAGGGCATTTTGTGAGAAGGTTAAGGAAAAGGTAAGTTCTGATGAATATTTGGCATTGTTGGAGTACTTTCATGGCTACAGCAATGGGAGAATCACGACGATCGGTTTGCAAGATTTGGTGGAAGATTTGCTTCGAAAATACCCAGGATTTTTTCATGAGTTTCTTTATGTTTCCAGTTATGTGATGGTTTAACTCCATCAATAGATTCAGTTGACAGCAGCAACAGAAGGAAGAAGAAGGAGCCTGGTTCTGATCAGGGTGTTGGAGAAATCAATAGAAACAACAAGAAGATCAGGTTAACTTATAGTTCAGTTCAAAAACCTAACCCTGAATCTACCCCAAGAAACAAAACAAAAGATCCATGGCTTCGAGCATTAGGGTTCTGTGAAAAAGTTAGGAAAGAAACCAGTTCTGACTATTATTTGACATTGCTGAAATCCCTACACGATTTTGGCACTGGAAAGATTACAATGGTCGGTTTGAAGACAATGGTAGTCGATTACTTCCCAGATTTTGTTGATGACTTCATTGAAGTTTTGAAGTTCTATGAGAGTTTAACTCAGTTATCATCGGAACCTGAAGAGCAGATGAAACCAAACAAAAACATGAGTAATATGATCACACCAAGCTATAAATTTCTTCCGAAGAATCTGTCAGGAGTTCAAAGTAGTGGAATTGATGAACTCGGGCAAGAAGTACTTAATTGTTGCTGCTTCTCTGAGGGTTCATGTCATTTCAAGGTATGGCCTAAAGACCCTTACGAAAAGATGTTGAATAAACACGAAGGTGAGTTGTTTGTGCGTGATATGTTGGTGGCATGGAAACGATCGACTATGGAGAATTCGACCAAACTGTTGAAAGCGATAATCAATGGTAAAATCGAGAGGCCAATCGATGTTAACAAACATTTCAACGGTTACAATTTCAGATTCATAGAGAAAATGTATGGGGAGGAGGGGTTAAATATGGTGGATTACCTGCGTCAGTCAGCTGAAATAGCTCTGCCAATCATTATCAAGAGGCTGAACCAGATGGAGATTAAGTCCTTCACTTCACTTGGGACTAAAAATTAGTTCTTCTATGAAAAATAATATAAGAACTAATATTTTTGTTTCATTTATTGCTGAAATTACAAGCACATATTTTGCAGCACAAGATCTTATCACATATCATATGTTAAACTAAAAAGATTAAATCTTTTTTTTTTTGTTTCCTGAAATGTATTATATAGCCTAGGAAGTTTATATTTTGGGGGTTTAGCTGTTCTGGTTTTGCGTTTGGGTTCTTTACTTGTCTGTTTTGGTTGTTATCTTGAGTTTGAATTTGTGAGAGATCTCTCTCTTTATTGTATCTTTTTTATTTCCAAAAAAATTCTCAAAAAAATCAGAAAATATATTCTTATTCAAAAGTTACTATAATGTGAAAGCAAATAGTATCAAATCAAAAGGTCTTCGATTAAAAAGGAGTACATGTCTAAAATGTCACACCGAAGCTAATAGTTGTATGTATATAAGTTAAATACACGCATTTTAAATCATGTATAAGGAGACTGAAATACTTTTGCTAATTATGCTTAAGAAAAGAAAGTTGCAGTTGTGGGTAATGCTCATGTTCTTCTACTATTATTAACGTGGAAGAGAATTTAACATAGAGTCTATTGCTTTCTCCATCTGCAAATTTTCAAAGAAAATAACATCAAACTTACGTTCGTATTAATTATAAATGTCAAGGAAAAGGTGCCTCTCTCTCATTATCACTCTTATTATTATCTAGACTTCCAACATGTTAACCATTGAGTCTCAGTGGGGCTAATAGCATAGCAAAGTGTTCCACAAGAAACAGTCAAGGATACAGATGTTCATTGGAAATTTCTCATTTGATTGAAACACTGGAAATCTTTGCTATAAAGCGAATCAATGATGCATTAATGCACCAAAAAGGAATTTAAAATACTTCCCAGTGATAACAAAATCTTCATAAGCAAAATATATGTTTTTTAAAGCTTTTTTTTCTTATAGATTTGCTTGAAGATCGGTGGGGTCATGGGTTCTGTGACAATTACTTTGCTAATGTTGCTATGTCTAGAAACTTTTAAACTTGGCTTTTCCGCCAGAAACCACAGCATCACTTGCATTCAGAGCGAGAGACAAGCTCTTTTGAGGTTTAAGCAAGATCTCAAAGATCCTTCAAACCGGTTAGTTGCTTGGACCCATGATGGAGATTGCTGCAAATGGGATGGAATTGTCTGTGATAATGTAACTGGCCATGTTATCAAGGTCCAACTTGGGAGTTCTCAGGGTGTGTTTGCACCAAATGCTGAAGCTGAAGCACGTGTAGGGTTGAAGTTGCGTGGTAAGTTGAATCCTTCCATGATAGATTTGAAGTATTTAAGTAACTTGGATCTTAGCAACAATGATTTCGGAGAAACTCAAATTCCCACTTGGTTTTGGCACTTGTCTTCCAATCAGTACTACCTGAATATCTCTCGAAACCAATTCCAAGGTAGCATTCCTGATTTACTCACAATGCTTCATCCTTCTGCTGTGATTGATCTTAGCTCAAATAACTTCAGAGGTCCACTACCTCGTCTCTCATCCAATGTGACTGCTATAGATCTTTCTAACAATTCCATGTCAGGATCTACCTCTCATTTCTTGTGCTACAAATCCAATGAGCCAATGAAATTGGAAGTTCTAAATCTTGGCAATAATTTTTTATCAGGAGAAATACCTGACTGTTGGAAGATGTTTCCAAGGTTGGTGGCCATAAAATTATGTGACAACAATTTCAGTGGTAAGATTCCAAGGTCCATGGGAACTTTCACTTTTCTTCAATCATTACACATGCGCAACAACATTCTAGTTGGTGAAGTACCCTTCTTTCTAAAAAAATGCAGTGAATTGCTTACTGTTGACTTTGGTGCTAATCAACTCTCCGGATATATACCACCATGGATGGGAGAAAGGTTATCAAAATTAATCATCTTCAGCCTTCGGACAAACAAGTTTAATGGTACTATACCTAAATTGTGCCCTATCATCTCTTCAAATCCTGGACCATTCCCTCAACAAATTATCAGGAGATATTCCGAGCTATATCAACAATCTCAATTGCATGGCCTTGAGAAATAAATCCGATGACAAGATATTTTATAAAAAGTCTAAGGGAAGCTTTTTTGAGGATATATTACTTGTGATGAAAGGAAGGGTCGTGGATTATAGCACTACCCTTAAACTAGTTAAAACAATGGACCTTTCAGATAACAATTTATCAGGTGAGATCCCTGAGGAGGTGACAAATCTTGTAGGCTTGCAATCATTGAATTTCTCACATAATCTTTTGGTTGGAACCGTTCCTGAGAACATTGGTGCAATGGAATCATTAGAATGAGTTGATTTATCAACAAACAAAATTTCTGGTGAAATCCCTCCATCTCTTACCTCACCTTCTTGAGTCACCTGAACTTGTCCTATAACAAAATTACTGGGAAAGTTCGAATGAGTACTCAGTTATAAAGCTTAAGTGCATCCAGCTTTCTTGGCACTGAGCTCTTTGGACCACCCCTAGCTGATAGTTCCAATGCTGTGAAGTTCAGCGGTAGTGCAGGAAAAAAACTGGAAGATCGACATGTAGTGGACTGGTCCTTTCTAAGCATGGAATTGGGGTTTTGCTTAGGATTCTTTGGTCCGTGTTCTGTACTAAAACTATAATTGAACATATGTAGTTGAACTATGAAAATTATCATCGCTTAAAGACTGTAACTGACTATGAATGTGATAAATCTTCAAGGTATTATTAGCAAAGACCCTCTTCTGTATAATTCAAGGGTATAACAACAAATACTAAATAAGTTATTTTAGTGAAACGTTCGATTGATAAAAACAAAAATAGTTGAATGCTAGCAAGTTACTTGGCACACAATGATTTGTACTTCGGTGGTATCTCCAAATTGATTGAATCAAACAAATGCTCACATATCTAAAAGTCCGAATGCATTCCACACATTTGGATCATCTGACTGTGCATCCCCTAAAAGTGAATCTATCTTTGGTCTTATTTGTTGTTCTCTTGCAAGAGGGAAGTCCCAAAATAAATCAGAATTCTGAAAGAATATGTAAAATGCAACTGCTGATGCCAAAAATAGTCCTAAAAGCAGCAAATAGATCTGTCACTCAAAGATTCAAATAGCGGTCGGATAGCGGTGTCGCGGCCGCTATTTCATGGTCGCGCCATTATTCGCCACCGCTATTGGAGAAAAAACGGGAGAGAATTTGAATTTCGTCTGTAACGGATGAATCGCGACCGTGAATTGTAGTATAACAGTGAATAGCAGCAATAGCGGTCTGCTATTACCGTTATTGCCGCTATTCCTATTTTCATTCAAAAATTCAAAAAAAAAATTCATTTGATTTTTTTAAAAAATTTAAAATAAAAACAATAAGAAAAAAAATAAACATCAATTTAAAAATTCAGAAAAAAAAAAACCCCACAAAACTTAAACTTTCAAAAAAAATCAATTCTCTCAAGTTTAACTTCAATCAAAATCAAATATATGCAATTTAAAGTAAACAATTAATTCAACACTCAAATTATCTTTCTTTTTTTTTAATTTCCAAATTTGCCATGATTTTGTGTGTTTGGGATTAGATTGGGCTATGTTACATTGATAGAATGAGGCAAGAGTTGATGGGACTTAAAATAAGAGATAAGAGATGCAAGTGAAACTTGAGGTTTATAGAAGCAAACAGATAGCACACACCAAATAAAAAGAGAACTGAGAGATGGGGATGAAGATGAAGGTTTGGAGAAAAAAAATTATTGAATGCAAGGTGAAGGGATAAGAAGTTGTGTGGGTCTGTGCAATTTAGTCAAGAGACAAAAAAAGTAGACTTGAGGTTATTATTGTTGAAAATCGACCATAACATGAAGGCTGTTAAGTTTGATTTACTGTAAGTTCATAAAAAGTAATTCTTTTGACTCATAAATAATAATGCTCTTACTTAATTTATGAATACATAATCACTTATTATTTAATTTATGCATAATATAGTTCGGTAATAATTTAATGAGTACGGTAATTAAATAATTAAATATATTATTTGTTATGATTATTTATTTTTCACATATTTATTTATCTCTTTTTATTTTTTAATTATCATATAAATACTTTTTTAAATATGAATATTTTACTAGAAATATTTTTTTAAAAATAAATAAAACGTATGATATGATATAAATTACTTTAAAAATCATAAAATAAAAGGTTTTATGATTAATAATTAAAATTATTATATTTTATAACAAGTTGAGCAAAATTTAAAAAAATTTACGACCGCAATAACCGCAATGATCGAGAAAGTCTCCGTTATATCTGTAACCGTGACAAATACGATACGACCGAAAACGTGACCGTTACCATAATTTAAATCCCTGCTGCCACTCTGCACATGAAAATAATAAGATCATCATTCTTGTATCGCTTGACATTGTTCACATGCATCTGTGTGCCCGCAAGCGTAAGCGTGTGAATGTGTGTGTGTGTGTGTGAGAGAGAGAGAGAGAGAGGAATACCTTTCCAGTCTGCAGGAACATTTAATTTTGTTACCATAGCTCCCCACTGACTAGAAGTTGTAAACACAACCCTGCAACAAAGCAACAATAAGGGAAATCAAGCCGCTGAACCAGGTATTATATAGTCCAGGGTGCCATCTCAAGATGTAACTCTACACATCTTGGGACTTTGATAGATAAGTAAATTTCGGAGATAAAGATTATAAATCCATTGCATGGCTAGTTAGACTAAGACATTGTCTCGAGGGTGAAAAAGCCAAAAAGAGGCTAAAATTCAAGCACACGGAATAAACAAAATGTACCAAACCAATTATCAAATGAAATCTTTAAAATTTGTGCTGAACCCTTGGTCCAATGGTGTGCGCAATATCTTTAAGGCATGGAGAATGACATGTTTGGGGTTCACCACCCATTTTTATGATCTACACTAAAATGTATGGTAACAACAAAAAGCTTGTATATAAATGAATACCAACTGTAATTAATTTCATCGATGGCTTCAAACCAGACGAACCCTAACAAACATAAAAATAATATTAATAACACTCAAATAAAAATATAACTAAAAAAAGAAACAGCAAAAGGATCAAACCCACTTATTTAATAAAATATGCTTCCAACAAAAGATAAATCAATAGGATCTGTAATAACATAGATTGAAAAGAATGCCTTAAGTTCATTTAGGTAAGGTTAAAATTGTGATCCAGAGAGGAGACTAGAGAGTGCCAGCACAGATAATGGTGTTTATTGAAGACCCAAAAAACACCACAATAATCTAAAAGTGACATCACCTAGAGACTGGCAAAGCAAAATTGATATATGCCCATCTCATGTAGTCGGGGAGAATGACAACAAAAGCTCGATTTCAAATTAATTGCTTTTCAGAAAATCCATATAAACATGTTGTTAAACAAAGTAAAAACAACATAAGCAGATAAGCTTTTAAATAAAATATAGTAACTTTCTGTATCTAAACTGCCAAGCAGTTGCTAAAAACAAAAAAACAAAAAACTACCAAGCAGGCATAAAACCCCACTTGAAGCATCTCTCAGTCATTGCTACGGTAATAACAACCACAGTCATCTTTGTTTGATGAGACGCACTCAATCTGGAAAGGTCAAGGGATCCATGATCTTTTAAAGTTGATCACATGACTACAGCAATCTAGAAACAGTATTTGGAAAAACTAAACACCAGATTATTTGCCTTGGCAATGATTAGCCAAAATAGTACTTGTTTCACCGAAACTTACCTTTGACCAGGACAGAACTCTAGTGATGCAATGGATGTACCCAGGTGTAGCCTCTTGCTCCAATGGCCGATCTCCATTTTCTTTACTTCAACCACACAGATGTCTCCATCTTTGCTTCCCCGAAAATGAAAACAATCGACCACATTATCAAATGAACATTGAAAAGTATTATAAATGTAATTAATTCTACAAAATTTTCCCAAGCATCATAAACCAGTCCTTGGCATGTTTAAATCCTGACTACCCCATCCTTCCCTCTTTGTCTCCACTCTTCATGAAAATACAAACGAGTTAAACAAATATATATATATATATATATAAGCTCTATTTCCATGGTTTATCGTAGCGGAAAATGTGAATGGTGTTCATGTGCAAATGCGTGTCAACACTCAATAAATCATCTGTGTTCAGCAAATATATACACACACGTGCTCTACGCGTGATTGTTAATTAAATTATAATTATAATATAATATAATAATTTTAGTATTTTTTATAATAATAATAAATTTGAAATAATTATCACAATATTAAATTAAATTGAAAATGTAAATTTAAATTTAAAAAGAAAAAAATATAACAAAAATTTTAAAGTGAAGTTCAATAGAGAATAAATATCTAATCTTTTTTATTTTGATTTTTCTATTTAGAAATTTTTTCGTCAAGTCTTCTAGTGTTTAGTCATCAACTTCATTCATTTTTTTTTTTTGTATTGTCTTCTACTTTTTAAAATTTTTTCAACTATAGATGATCATCTTCTATTACAATGAGATTAAATTTTGTATTTTCCTTCTTTTCTACTTTGTGCTTTTTCTAAAGTTTTTATTAGCTTTTGTGGTAGTAGATCTTTATCTTCAATGTTATGAATTTCTAAGGCAATCTATCATCCTTGAAATCATTTAAACTCTATCTTTTCATCTATTTATTATTGAAATTTTAAATTTTTAAATTTTTTTTGTTGAAATAAAACAAATATATAATGCTTTCTCTTCATCGCTTACTTTTGTTTTTAACATGAACTTATTTATACAATATAAATCATTTTGTAATTTTATTTTATAATAAAAGTGTATACTTTTATTATAAAATAAAATTATATGTACTTATTTACTAATTAGAGAATATTAAATTATAAATGTTCTCAAAAAAAGATATAAAACAGTCAAGAAATATTAGCGCTCAATGTAATAACCAATCAAGTTTATTTAAGGGATATTGAGTAAAATTATTTTTAGTATCAAATCTTGATTTTCTAAAAAGTCAATAAATATACATAATTTACAAAAAAAGATGTTATAATAAGAGTTTAAATAACATATTTGCACTTACAGGTATACCTTATTCTAAACCAAATAGTTTTTATGTTGTTTTTTAAATATTAAAATGCTTTTCTCAATTACCTTAGGTTTAATATTATTATTGTTTGTTAAAAATAAAATATAAAAACTTTAAAATTAATAAGATATGACAAATTTTAGACAACAATCATATTCTTATAATTTTAATGTAAACTATATATGTTTTAACTCTTAGACCTTAAAATTAATAGTGAATATAGTTTTAATATT